TAGCATACTTGCCTCCACTAGAAGACCCTTGACCACTGAGCCAATGCAGTGAAATTAAGAGACACTGTACCTTTAATTGAAGACAAGGACATTTTGCACCAATCAGCTTCAAGACCAGGAATTGTGAACACCAGCAAAGGGTTGATAAACAATGAGTATGTTAATTATGATAATTTACAATGTATAAATGAGTGACTGTTTCAATGCTGGGTGTGCTAGCTTTGTGGAAATAACCCCTAATACTCATTTCTGCGCAGAACTGCTACTAAATAAATAATCATTTGGCTCTTGCATGCAAGATAAACAAGTGTCGGGACAAAAATTTGTTCCATCTAAATCTACCCTCTTTCAGTTTAAAAGGCCCTAGTAAAAAATATCTCTCCATCTTTCTTATAAGCTCCCTTTACATATTGAACGGCCTCAGTAGGGTGTCCCCAGAGCTTTTTCAGGCTGAACAACCCCAACTCTCTCAGTTTTTCTTCATAGAAGAAGTGTCCCATGCCTCTGGTCATTTTTGTGGCCCTCCTCTGGACCCACTCTAAGAACTTCATGTCTCTCTTGTACTGGGAACTCCAGAGCTGGATGTAGTACTCTAGGTGGGGTCTCACAAGAGCAGAGTAGAGGGGCAAAATCGCCTCCCTCAACCTGCTGACTACACTCCTCTTTATGCAGCCCAGGATACAGTTGGCTTTCTGGGTTGCAAGCACGCCTTTGCTATCTCATGTCCAGCTTTTCATCCGCCAGTCCCCCCAAGTTCTTCATCACAGGTCTGCTCTCAATCCATTCAGTACCCGGTCTGTACTGATCTTGGGGGTTGCCCTGACCCTCAGGTGCAGGACCTTGCACTTGGCCTTGTTGAACTTCATGAGGTTCACAGAAGCCCGCTCCTGAAGCCTGTCAAGCTCCCTCTGGATGGTCCCTTTCCTCCAGCAAGTCAACAGCACCACCCAGCTTAGTGTCAACTGTAGACTTTCTGAGAGTGCACTCAATCCCACTAAGTTATTGATGAATATATTAAATAATATCGGTCCCAGTATGGATGCTTGAGGGACACCACTCATTACTGGTTTACATGGATCCTATTAAGGCCGTCACGTATTCACTGTGTGTGGCAACAAAAGAGAATGTCAGTAGCATAGCACTAATGTTGTAAAAGAAGGTGTTCCCTCAAGGAAGAAGAGATTTGTCAAGATTTATTACCTTTTACCGGATAACTGCACTTAAACAGTGATCTGTTTACTTAAGGTGATTCAGCCAGTAGGTGTATTAGCAATTAAAAATATTAAACTAGTTCCTGCTTGTTACTTCTTTCTGTAGAAAAGTATGGCTATGCAAATTTAGCCAAGATACTCTCATCTCTGTCCTCCACGGTCGTCTTGGTCTCCTAAAGCAACAGCTCCCACTCTGATACCTCAACATTCAGCACTTATCCGCAGGCAACAGTGAATTTCCAGTGTATTCCTGTCACTCATACCTCCTGAAAGATGGTGCTGTTGATGGTTGCAAGGCTGTGAGTCCATCTTGTACATTGTGGGCATTTCTGTGAGCAGACATGCTGCCAGCTGTAGTTCTGCTGCCAGTAGTGTTCCCAGCTACTGTTCATCAGCCTTTCATCTGCTCTGTCTGCTTGCTGGTCACTAACTCTGTTGGCATCTCCTGCCACTGGTTCCTGAGTGACCATAGGAGGAGAGCAGACAAGGAGACACCCGCCTTGCTATCATAGAATCATAGAATCATTCAGGTTAGAAGAGACCCTTGGGTCAATACACCAGAGGGATGGGATGTCATCCAAAAGGACCTGGACAGGCTGGAGAGGTGGGCCCAGGTGAACCTCATGAGGTTCAACAAGAGCAAATGCAAGGTTCTGCACCTGGGCCGGAACAATCCTCACCATCAGTACAGACTAGGGGGTGAGGTATTGGAAAGCAGCTCTGAGGAAAGGGACTTGGGGGTGCTGGTGGATGAGAAGCTGGACATGAGCAGGCAGTGTGCAGTTGCAGCCCAGAAGGCCAATCCCATCCTGGGCTGCATCAAAAGATGCATTGCCAGCAGGTCCAGAGAGATGATTCTTCCACTTTGCTCTGGTGAGACCTCACCTGGAGTATTGTGTGCAGGTCTGGAGCCCTCAATATAAGAAGGACATGGACCTGATGGAGCGGGTCCAGAGGAGGGCCAGAAGGATGATCAGGGGGATGGAGCACCTCTGCTACGAGGACAGGCTGAGGGAGCTGGGGTTGTTCAGCCTGGAGAAGAGGAGGCTCCGGGGAGACCTAATAGCAGCCTTCCAGTACCTGAAGGGAGCCTACAGGAAGGCTGGGGAGAGCCTGTTTAGAAAGGCCTGCAGTGACAGGACGAGGGG